GCCTCCAAGGTCCCTTCCAACTCTATCCTGACCAAACCTCAGACTGTTAAGGAATGGCGAGAGAACATATGTATGTTTTCTGCTGACATGTTCTCAGTAACCTTGTTTGTTTGTTTTTATTGTTTTGTTTATTACATTTATTGGATGCCCACCTTATCGCATAACTGTGTGCTGCTTCCAATATGAAAATGATAAATGCTATATAAAATAAAATACCAGAGGCAGGACAAGAAGCAATGGATGGAAACTAATCAAGGAGAGAACCAATCTAGAACTAGGAAGAAATTTCCAAACAGTGAGAATAATCAGTGGAACAACTTGCCTCCAGAAGTTGTTCCCTTCCAACTCTGTTATTCCGTTACCGCAAAAATACAAAAGTTTAAAATATGGAAGGGACAACGTTCTTTTAGAACAGGGGTCACCAACCTTTCGGACCTCAGGGACCACTAAATTCATAATTTTAAATCCCGCGAACCACTAATATGATCTGCCTAATGACCGGCTGGGTGGGCGTGGCTAGATGTTCATGTGACTGGGTGGGCGTGGCCAACTCAATGTCATTCACGTCGAGGGGCGCCTCGACAGTCTCTACTCACCCCTCCCCTCTCAGCCACTCCTTGCCTCCCCGCCCGGGCTCCTTAGGGCCCCAACAAGAAGCAGTTGTTGGAGCTAAGCAGCCACCACGAGAAAGAGTTGGCAAAATAGCTCAGTTCAAATTGGATCTGACCGAGAAGGAGGCTCAGCAGAAGCACCTCACTGAGGACTAGGAGCATAGGCTTTCCAAGCAGAGGGGAGACCTGTGGGAGTGCAAGGCCAGGTACCGGCGCCTGGAGGCTCAGCGGGCTGAGATGGTCAGCCAGTTCCAGACCATGATGTAGTCCCACTGGAACGAGGCCCTCCAGCTCTTTGCCACCAGTGGCACTTCCCTCCAGCCTTCACCCAAAGTCCCACACCAGGAGGCCGAAGCAGACCCCAAGTCGGAATTTCTGTCCCCCTCCGACCCACACAAAAAGACCCTGAAGGGGGAGACTCTCTGCAGCAACACAAACATTCCACGTATCTGTCACAGGGACCGTAGTTTGAGGACCCCTGATTTAGTGCACTATAAAAAATGCAAATATTTTTTTCTGCAGACCACCAAAATTTTCTCACGGACCACCAGTGGTCCACGGACCACCAGTTGGTGACCGCTGTCCTAGAAGACAAGTCTGGCTCCCTCCTTTCTCTTGGAAGGATGGAGTCTAGCTGGTTTGAAGACGCCATAAACACGTCTCTACACACACTCACAACTTCTGTGCGGTTTCTCTTGGAAGGAGAAAGACACACCACCAAGGATGAACTTTGCACTGATCGGGGAGAACTTCCAACAAAGAATGTGACCTGGTCCTCCGCAAATGATCCAAGGTCTCTACTCTCTTGCTCACCCCATCTTCTGATTCCCACCAACCCTTCCTCAACCCTTTAACACCCCTTAATTCTGCCCCTCGATTTATACAGCCTCCGAGAAATCCCCTACGTGTTAGACCGCACGCTAACGTGACCCAACACAACAGGATTTCCCAGCTGCTCTATATAAGAGTTTCTCTTTGCTCTCGTGGTGTTGTGGGAGAGATGGTGTTAATTTCTACACAGGGGTGGAGGCAGGAAGGACACGTTTCCAGGCGTAACCTTGGGGAAGGGCGGGGAGAGAAGATGTTACTTTTCCCGACTCTCCTGAAATAATAATATTTAAAAATAAATAAATAAATAAACCCGGATGATTTTTGGGTGCTCTCTTGATGGGGGCAAAGTTTCCCGGCCATTTATGTGGGTGGGTGTGTTTTGCCCGACTCCCTAAAACAGGAAGAGTTGCCACCAGCAGCACATCAAGATGAACAAGCCTACACAATCTACAAGAAGCCGCGTGACCACAACAGAAATTGTTTGCACCTTTTGACAGCCAGGGAGAGCGGGAGAGGGAAAAAAATAAAATCACACATGCGCCAAACCTTTAAAGAAATCTTCCTTGTCCTTCAACACAACACATCCTTCCTTCCTTCCTTGCGGCTACTTATAGGAAACCCCCCTCCCCAAATATCACTGGCTCCCAGTCCCAAAAAAAAAAAAAGAAAGAAAGGAGCAAGCCGCCCACCAGCCTCCCCAAACCCAAAATGCGAGATTTACATTTCAATCGAAATGTAATAATTTCCCCTCCATGAACATTTTGCACAAATCTTTTTCAACCAAAACCGTCAGGAGGAAAGAGAGAAGAAAGCCAGGAGAAACGGAGAAAGAAACTGGGGAGACACACAAACATACACACACACACAGAGAGAGAGAGAGAGAGAGAGAGATTGTAACACCTACTTCCTCTCCCTTCCCTGGCACACCTACTACACACCTGACACATTACAAGCTCTCTCTCTCTCTCTTTTTTTTCTTTCCCCCATTCTGCTCGCCTTTGCTTTCTTCCCCACAAAGGGGGGGGGGGGAGAGAAAAGAAAAAAAAGCAGAAGCAAAGTAAAGATAGAAAAAAAAGGTGCAAAAGGGGTGTGTTTTGTTTGTGTGTGTGTGTGTGTGTTTGGGGTGCTGGGTGTTTAAACTCAAGGAGCAGCAGGAATGCCTTGGTGGTAGATATAGAGAGAGGGGTTTTGCAGAGAGGGGAAAAAAAAAACCCTCCACTCTGCATTGTGAATTTTCCAAAGGCTTTTTTGCTCTGTGCACAACAACCACAACCACACACACACACACTCTCACACACACACACACACCCTCAGCCCTTGTTTATCACTGCAAGCTCGACTGGCTGCTGCCCGCGATGTCCTTTCACCAATGTCAAAACAATCCTTTAGCAGCTGGGCCCCAGATTTTTAAATTTTTTTTGCAGAAAAAAAAAGGTGAAAAAAAATCACTTTGCAGTCATCATTGCACGGGGTGGAAAAAAAGGGGGGAACCCGAATCTGGCTGGGAACGTGAGAATGGTACCCCCAAAAAAATAATAATAATTGGGACCTGGGTTATATATTTTGGGAGGTGGGGGGAGAAAGGAGGGAAGCCAAGCTCGCCCTCCCTCCCTCTCTCTCCTTCCTCGCCTTGACATTCAAGCAGCCCGACGCGGAAGGTGAGAGCCAGGCGGAAATGCCATTTTGCACACCTCTTGACACGCAAGAGGCTGCCCCCTTTACGCGCAGACACACGTACACACACACACACAAGGAGAGAGGGAGCCGTGCAGCAGGGCACACGCAGACCCCCCCCCCCCACGATCGGCGAAGGGAGGCGGCTTTCTCCCGGGAGGAAAAAAAGGAAAGAGTCTTGCAGAGCGTGGATGGGCTTCCTCGCGAGTAAATGCCCGGGCCGGCCACAATGGCTTTGCAAAACGCCTCCTTGGTTGCAACTCCCCTTTTTTTTTTGCAAACGCGTTTACTCCCGAGGAAGCCCCTTCCTCCTCCTCTTCCTCGTCCTCCTCCCCACCCTGGTTTCCCCAAGGGAGGATCGGATCCCCCTTCCCCAATTCCTCCAGCCCAGGCTGGAGGAAGAGCCCCTTCCCCAATTCCCTGCCAACTTACTCCTGGGTCAAGGCAAAGCAGTCGCTCCGCGCTCACCTGGACGTAGGGAGCGAGGGTGGGAGGGGACCCTCCGCCAAAGGAATCCACCCCGGCCAGGATCGGAAGCCGGACGGATTCCCTTTCCCCGATCCTCCTCCTCCTCCTCCCACTTCCCCCAACTCTCTCCTTCCAAATCGGGCCAAGGCTACACTTTTCCGACCCTTCCCCAAAAAAAGGGGGCTCTCCGCCTTTGAGGATTCTTGCTTTTGCCTTCCCGCGCCGGCTCAACTTTGCAAGTGCGTGGAATCCTCGCCCAGTGGATCGATCCCCGGATCCCCCCCCCTTTTTTTGGATCACCCGTTGCAAAGACACAAATTTCCCCTTAAAAAAACACCCCTCCTTCCACCGGTCAGGATCGCGTGCAGAACTATACCCGGCTCTTCCCGCACCCCCCGTTTTCCCCAAACCATCACACCCGGGGGAGGTTAGGATCGCGTGCAGCACTACACCACCACTCCCTCTCCTGAGCCCCGTTTCCTCCTCCCCCCTCCCCCCCTCCCAAGTCGACTGGCCTCCCCCGAACCATCCCACCTACCCAGAAGGGTCAGGATAGCGTGCAGCACTCCCCCACCCCGTTTCCTCCACCCTCCCAAGTCGATTGACCCTCCAAAAAACATCCCACCCACCCAGGGGGTCAGGATCGCTTGCAGCACACCCGCCCCGTTTCCCCCTTATTATCCTCGAAGTCGATTGACCCCCCCCATCAAAACATCCCACCCACCCATCGGGTTAGGATCGCGTGCAACACAACCGTCTTCTCCTCTACCACCGTTTCCTCACACCCTCCAAGTCGCTTGAACACCCCCCAAAAAATATCCCACCCACCCAACGAGTTAGGATCGAGTGCAGCACACCCGTCTTCTCCTCCACCCCGCTTCCCCCTTACCCTCCAAGTCGATTGCGCCCCCACGAACACATCCTACCCACCCGGGGAGGGGGGTCAGGATCGCGTGCACCACACCCGTCTCCCCCTATGCCCCGTTTCACACCCCCACACACCCCCCCCCCACGCCCCTGACCCCCCCCCCCCCTCCAAGTCGATTGACACCCCCCCAAACATCCCACCCACCCAACGGGTTAGGATCGAGTGCAGCACACCCATCTTCTCCTCCACCCCGCTTCCCCCTTACCCTCCAAGTCGATTGCCCCCCACCCCAACACATCCTACCCACCGGGGGGAGGTCAGGATCGCGTGCAACACACCCGTCTCCCCCCCCATACACACACACCCTCCAAGTCGATTGCCCCCCACCCCAACACATCCTACCCACCCAGGGGGGGTCAGGATCGCGTGCAGCACACCCGTCTCCCCCCCCCACACACACACACCCTCCAAGTCGATTGAACCCCCCCCACAAAAAAACCCATCCCCCCCTCCCCACCTACGGGCTCAGGATCGCGTGCAGCACTCACCCATCTCCTCCTGCGCCTCCCGCGCTCTGCTTCTCTCTCTCTCTCTGTGTGTGTGTGTCTTTTCTCCCCTTGCACGGAGGGGGGGATTCCGAGTCCGGGTCGGGGTGGAAAGGCAGGCAGGCAGGCAGGCAGGCAAGGGAGGCGTGTGCGCCGGAGGATCGGCGGGAAAGGCTCAGACGACGCCGCTCCAGGCCCCTCGCGGGAGCCCCCGAAAGTCGCCCTGCGCTTGTCCGGGGTGCCGGAGGGGCGCCGGGGCCATGGCTCGGTGTGCGGCGGCGGCAGCGGCGGAGCTGTCAGCCGGGGGAGGGCGCGCGAGGAAGGCGCCGGGCGGAGGCGAGGCAGTCGCCGCCCGAAACCGGGAGAGAGAGAAGAGAAGAGAAGAAGAGAAGAGGGGAAAAAAAAAAAAGAAAAGAAAAGCCGCCGAGGTTCCAGCCAGGGGAAAAATGGCGCCTCTCAAATAAGGCGACCGAGATTTTTTTTTTTTTTTGCTTTTCCAACGAGCTTGCAACCCGACCCCCCCCCAAAAAAAATAATATTAATAAATTAAAAAATCGGAATCATGCAACGGGGGGGTGGGCGGGAAAGCCATGCAACGGCTCCCCCCCAGTTTGCAAAAAAAAAAGAAAAAAAGAAAAAAGAGCATGCAATGAAAAAGCAAAAAAAATGGTTGGAAGGAGAAAGGAGACAGAGGGAGGGAGAGAAAGAAAAAAAAAAGGGGGGGATCTCCCTTTTTTTGGGGAGGGGGAAAAGAAAGCCAGAGACGCGCCCCCCTCCCCTCCTCTCCTCTCCGCTTTGCAAAGCTTGGCTCGCCTCCTGCGCCGATCCCCGCGAAGGAAAGTGGGGCGGGGGGGGGGAGGAGGAGGAGGGCGGACTCCGTGAGCGCAAGAGGTGGGGGGGGTTCTTTTTTTTTTTTTTTTTGGGGAGGGGGGGGGGGAAAAGAATCCGGAGCCCCGCCGCCCGGCTCTCCTGCGCGGCCCCGAAGCTGAAGCCGAGTCAGCGCAGCCGCATCGCCGCCGGAGAAAGAGAGAGAGAGGGGGGAGTCGCGCCGCTGTGCCCGCCGAGACGGTGGTCGCCGGAGTCGGTGCGTCGTTGCTGCTGCTGCTGCTGTGGCCGCCGCCGCCGTCGTCGGTTGCGAGTTTGTGGGGCTGCCTTTGCTCCGGAGCTCCCCCGTCTGTCGCCTTCGCTCCCTGCGCCCCCAGCGGCCGAGCCGGAGAGGGAGATTTTGGGGAGGGGGGGAGAATATTGGGGAGGGGGGTACGGACCGGAGGAGACACAAACACACAACACACACATACACACACACAAACACACACACCTACACACACACACACACAAACACACAGCCAGTCCTGCTGGCCAAAATACCCATTTTTCTCTACCTGGACTCCCTCCCTGAGGTAAAAAAAAAAGGGGGGGGCATTTTAGGATTAGTTTACAAGTTGAACAGGGGTTGGAAGGGGCTTGGAGGGCATCTTGTCCGACCCCCCCCCCCCGCCCAAGCAGGAGACCAGTGTTTCTCCCCCTTGGTAGCCTGAAAAAGGCGGGACTTAAACCCCCAAGACCCCCCCCCCCCCCCGCCAGCAACGCTTTGCTCGCTGAGACAGTCGCCGGCTGGGGGATTCTGGGAGTTGAAGTCCAGCCATCTTTTTATTTTTTTTTTAAATTTGATTTATATGCCACCCTTCTCCGAAGACTCAGGGCGGCTTACAATGTGCTCAACAATAGCCTTCATCCTCAAGCTTCCAAGGTTTATTTTATTTTATTTTATTTTATTTTATTTTATTTTATTTTATTTTATTTTATTTTATATATTTATTTATTTATTTATTTATTTATTTATTTATTTATTTATTTATTATATTTCTATACCGCCTTTCTCCCGTAGGACTCAAGGCGGTGTACGGTCAAGAAAAATATAGATGCACAAACATCGTAAAATTGCTGATTAAAATTATTATTATAACATACTTGGGCCCAATTAAATAGAACCTAAAATTAGATAACATTTTAAAAACATTCACATGTTCGTATGTTTAGCCCCGCCTGTTGGAACATCAGGGTTTTGAGGGCACGGCGGAAAGCACGGAGATCAGGGATATTCCGTATCTCGGGGGGCAGTTCATTCCAAAGGGTTGGAGCCCTCACAGAGAAGGCCCTCCCGCTGGGAGTCGCCAGTCGGCGTAATTTGACTGACGGTACCCTGAGTAGTCCCTATTTTATTTATTTATTTATTTAAATTTATATACCGCCCTTCTCCCGAAGGACTCAGGGCGGTGAACAGCCAAAGGTAAACACACAGAATACAAACTCCCAGAATCCCCCAGCCAGCAACGCTTATGCCCGCCAAGACGGTCGCGCTAGCTGGGGGGGCATTCTGGGAGTTGAAGTCCAGCCATCTTCAAGCTTCCAAGGTTTATTTTATTTTATTTATTTATTTATTTACATTTATATACCGCCCTTCTCCCGAAGTTATCAGGGCGGTGAACAGCCAAAGGTAAACACACAGAATACAAAAATTTAAGAACAGTTTAAAAAACATATTAAACAATTTTGCCCCAACAATTAAAATACCCCTTTTGAAAATTTCAAATTCAAATTAAGCAATTGGAGAAGTTAGGCCAGCCCGGCTTGTTGAAATAAAAAAGTCTTGAGGGCCCGGCGGAAAGTACGTAAATCCGGAATCCTCCGTATCCTCCGGGGGGAGCTCGTTCCAGAGGGCGGGTGCCCCCACAGAGGAGGCTCTCCTGGGGACCGCCAGTCGACATTGTTTGACCGACGGCACCCTGAGGAGCCCCTCTCTGTGGGAGCGTACTGGTGGCAGAAGGTGGTCTCGTAGGTACCCAGGTCCTAAGCCATGGAGCGCTCTAAAGGTGGTCACCAACACCTTGAATCGCACCCGGAGGACCACCGGAAGCCAGTGCAGCTCGCACAGGAGAGGTGTTACATGGGAGCGCCATGACGTTCCCACAATCATCCGCGCAGCCGCATTCTGGACCAGTTGGAGCCTCCAGGTGCTCTTCAAGGGGAGCCCCATGTAGAGAGCATACAGTAGTACAGTAGCATTACAGTACTGCAGGCAGGTTGAGAAAAACTGGCCTACACCATTTCTGACAGATGGCAGTCCAGTCTCTTCTTGAAGGCCCCCGGCGATGAAGCTCCCACAACTTCTGAAGGCAACTTCTCTTCCATGGGTTGATGGTTCTGTCACATCGTTGCAATGCTTCAAAAATCTCAGATCTCAAATTAATAAGAGTTGGAAGGGACTTCATAGGTCATCTAGTCCAACCCCTCGCCCAAGCAGGAGACCCTACACCATTTCTGACAGTTGACAGTCCAGTCTCTTCTTGAAGGCCCCCGGCGATGAAGCTCCCACAACTTCTGAAGGCAACTTCTCTTCCATGGGTTGATGGTTCTGTCAGGTCCTTGCAAGGCTTCAAAAACCTTCTCAGATCTCAAATTACTAGAGTTGGAAGGAACCTTGTTGGTCATCTAGTCCAACCCTCACCCAAGCAGAGAACCTACACCCTTGATGGTGAACCTATGGGCCATATCTGCAGGCACATTGTTGCCCTAGCTCAGCTCCAGCATGCATGCCGCCCAGCCAGCTGATTTTCAGGCCTCTGGTCCTACAAGTCAGGAAAGGGCTGTCTCCACCTCCGGAGTGCCTCTAGGGGGTGGGGAAGACTGTTTTCGCCCTCCCCAGGCTCCAAGAAATCCTCTGGAGCCTGGGGAGGGTGAAAAAACGGGCCTACCTGGCCCACCGTGCCATCACGTGCCAAAGCGGGGAAAGCACGGAGGGTCATGTACACATGCACTGGGGGGCAGGCACATTGAATTGTGGGTGTGGGCACACACACGGCAACCCCCCCCCTGCTCCCACGCTTTTGGCACGCGACAGCAAAAAGGTTCGCCATCGCTGCCTACACCATTTCAGACAGTTGGCAGTCCAGTGTCTTCTTGAAGGCCTCGGCGATGAAGCTCCCACAACTTCCGAAGGCAACTTCTCTTCCATGGGTTGATGGTTCTGTCAGGTCCTTGCAAGGCTTCAAAAACCTTCTCAGATCTCGAATTAAAAGAGTTGGAAGGGACTTCATAGGTCATCTAGTCCAACCCCTCGCCCAAGCAGGAGACCCTACACCATTTCTGACAGATGGCAGTCCAGTCTCTTCTTGAAAGCCTCCAGTGATGAAGCTCCCACAACTTCTGAAGGCAACTTCTCTTCCATGGGTTGATTGTTCTCACTGTCAGAAAATTTCTCCTTATTTCTAGATTGAATCTCTCCTTGATCAGTTTCCATCCATCATTACTTGTCTGGCCTTCGGGTGCTTTGGAAAATAGCTTGACCCTCTTCCTCTCCCTCAAATATTGGAAGACGGCTATCATATCTCCCCTGGTCCTTCTCTTCACTAGACTAGCCATGATGCTCAGTTCCTGCAACCGTTCATCGTATGTTTTAGTCTCCAGTCCCCTCATCATCCTGGTTGCTCTTCTCTGCACTTTTTCTAGAGTCTCCACATTGTTTTTCTACTGTGGTGACCAAAACTGGATGTAGGTGTGGTCTTACTAGAGCTTTATAGAATGGTATTACCTCACTTGATCTTGATTGTAATGCAGTTTAGGATTGCATTAACTCTTTTGGCTGCCCCTACACACAATTCTTGCTCCTCAAGGAAAGGTTTCTCCATTGGATGATTTGGTGATGGGCAGACTGCAAGTCCCAGGATTCCCAAGCTTCCTAGGGAATTCTGGGGGATTATAGTCCTCCTGGCAAAATCCCCGTTTTCTATATACAGGTTTTTCCCTCATGGTGTTCTGTCCCCAACCACATGCACACACACACAACAACAGACGTTCAAGAGCAAACCAGCTGGCAAAATCCTTTTCCTTATGATAACGGAACTTGGCAACAACCTAGTGGCTGCCTGCCAAGAGTTTATTATTTGCGAAGAGGAGAGATAACTTCTCCCCACTCCTGGTACATCAAAAGAAACAGCTCAATAATTACAGAGTCAATCAAGTCCAGAGATAATCCAGCAAAGTCTATAGCAAAAGTCCGGCAATGCAGAATGGCATGGAAGCTTTCAGCTTTGTTCGTCACAAAGTTTGACTGGCCACCACGCTCCCTTTTATGTCCTGTGGGGTGTGGTCCAGTGACTCAGCCTAATCTCGGGCACACCTTTTCTTCTGTTGCGCGCGCTTATCTCTGCGACACTGGCGTGGATCCAGCCAAGACTCATTACCTTCATCACTGTCCATTTGTGGCTGCGTGGACATGCTTGGCCCCGGCCCTATCTCTTGCCCTTCGGCGGACACCGAAGGCATTGCCAGAGAGGAGGGTCCTGGAGAGGGAGGCCTTGCCAATTCCTCTCCTTCACTCTCGGAGTCCTCTCCTGCCGATGACACAGGCTCAGGTAACGGAGCCACAACACATAGCAAAATTGCAGTTTTGTATCCGAGACAGGATTTCTCCACTGAGCAATTCAGAGATGGGCAGACTACAAGTCCCAGAATTCCCCAGGCTGCCTGGGGAATTCTGGGAGGTCACAGCCTCCTAGCAAAAATACAATTTCTGTACACTTTTCCCTCCTAGCAAAATTGTGTTATGTACCCAATTCTCGCTCCCCAAGAGAGGATTTCTCCACTGGATGGTTTGGTGATGGGCGGACTGCAAGTCCCAGAATTCCCGTGGTGCCTGGGGAATTCTGGGGGATTACAGTCCTCCTGGCAAAATCCCATTTTCTATAAGTTTCTCTTTCCTGGAAAAATAACATTTGCTACACAATTCTTGCTCCCCAAGAAAATGTTTCTCCACTGGGA